AGGATGATCTACCTCAAGATCCAGCTGTGCCATTCTTAGGCATATACCCAGAGGTCACATCATCCCACCACAGAGATCCTTGCTCAACCATGTTCACTGCTGCTCTACTCATAATAGACAAAAATAGGAAACAATCTAGATGTCTGTTAACAGATAAATGGATAAAGAAAATGTGGTACATTTAGACAATGGACTATTACTCAGCTGTTAAAAAAAATGACAACATGAAATTTGCAGGCAAAAGGATGGAACTAGAAAAAAAAATCATCCTAAGCAAGGAAACCCAGACCCAGAAAGACAAATAAGGTATGTTTTCTCTTATAGGTGGATAGTAGCTATTAAGTCAATGACACCAAGCTACAATCTGTAGAATCAAAGAGGATCGATATAGAGTGGGTACTGGGGGTATGGAGAGACACAGATATATCTCCCTAGGAAAAGGAAATAGAATAGATAGTTATGGATACATGTAGTTATTTTTAAAGTGTAGAGTGCATTGCATGTGTAATATGTTTTATTTTTAATTTATTTTTTTAGAACTTCATACATGAGTACTATATTTGCATCATTTCCACCTTTCTCTCAACCCCTAACTCCTCCTATGCTATGCACCCCTCTAACTTATGACTTCTTCTTCTTTAATCATTATTGTCAAATTTATATAACTTACTAAGTCCATTTAGTGTTGCTTTTATGTTGACGAGTTTGGGACTGCCCACTTAGGATTGAATAACCTATCAGGGGCTCATCTCTGGAGAAGACTAAATCTTCCTCACAGCAACAGGGTATAGCTTCTGTGTTGTGTTTAGATGACACTATCTGCAGCAGGCATCCTGGGCCTCTGGCTTTTACTCTTTTGGAGGGGGCAGGGGCTCATATTTCGGGATTTTCTCTGAGCCTTAGTGTGGGGACTATGCTGTAGATGTAGCAGTTAGGGGTGGGCACCCCACAATCACTTATTTCCTGTGTTGTGACCAGTTGTGGATCTTTCTAACAGTCTCTATCTGCTGCAAAAAGAAACACCTTTGAAGAGAGTAAGAACTTGCCTCTGTGTATAGGTCTAAGTATTTCCAATAGAGTTAGAAAGTACACTGGCTTAGGAAGGTGGCAGAAGTCGGCTCTCCTCTAGGGCCTATGATTGCTCCAAGGACAGATAGTTGACCGGGTTCACAGTACCAGACATGACTTCTCTCCTATTGAGTTCAACTAGACAGTTGTCAGTTACTGCCAAGATAAAAGCCATAACAACACTATTGGGAATATCTGGCTGGCTAGGCTGCCCATTGCTGTGGTTCCTAGGCTGCACAGCCAGGAAAGGCCTACTGTTTGCTCTTCTCCCTTGGCAGCTTGCATAGCACCTGTCCACACCATGAAAGCTAGTCCTCAGGCAAGAGACTTCTAGAACAGTTTAGCTCATTCCTCTAAATCTTTTGTCCAAAGTGTGTAGTATCTTCAGCGATCAGGTCTTACTTACCTTCAAGTTTTGGGAAGCAAGCAAGGATAATGGTAATAGTCTATACTGTTTTGGGAGGCTCTTGGATTATCCCCACCTCCACGCCAACCAACAACTGAGGGAGGTTTTCAATTCTTGACACTGGGCATTTTGTTAGGTAGTCAGTCTATGGCTTTGGTGAGGAGAATTAATCACCTCGTGTATGTGTGTGTGTGTGTGTGTGTGTGTGTGTGTGTGTGTGTGTGTGTAGTAAGCTTCTAAAACAACATGTTTCCCTATAGGTATTTCAAACATCCTTAGTACTACGTATGTCTCCTTCCTCCCTCTTCAGCTACATTACTCTCCCACCCCCTTCCCAATGTCTTCCTTCCCCATTCCATTTTCCCATTTTCCACACATAGCCTCTTTGTATTGTTCACCCTCTTTCTAGAGCTCCTTTCTTCCCTCTCCTCTCCATGGTCCTTTTCTATTTTTCTGGCTTCTGTGGTTACTTTAGATTATATACCAAATCTAAAGATTCAGAGCTAGTGTTCTTATATCTTCAGCATGGCAGCTGCGCCTTCATCTACTCCTATCTCAGTCAGCAATTGGGACTCCACAGTTCCCAGCCTGCTTCTCTGGCAGTGGCCTGGTCACTCAGGCCTCAGTCTGGCTTGAATTCTGTTCCCACAGGCACTGGCTCTGCCATTGCCACTAAAGGTGGCTTTAACTAAGTCTCTATCATTCTATTTATAAAAACAAAACAAACAAAACAAAACAAAACCTCAAGACTCAAAGGCTGGAGTGAAAACCTGCTAACTCAAGAGAGGTTGAGTAGCACTTAGCTAACCTCTCCTTGCTGGTGTCTCCCAAAAAGCCTGTCCTTCCACTCCACCAAAACAAAAAAGGCTGCTCCACTCAAAACCCCTCCCTTCCAGTGCATCTCTTTATCTCTTCCAGATGTCCTCTGATGTTCTATGATTGCTTTCTGTCAGCTAGTTGCTAACTCAGCCTCCTCATCCAAGGATAATTTTATTTAATCAATGCAAATGCAGACTCAGAGTTTACAGTGTGAATGAATATCCCCCCACCCCAAAAGCTAGAATTATCCTCCGGGTTATACAAAGAACTTAAAAAAACAAAAAAAACAGATAATCAAGAATAATACCAATTTAAAAATGAGCTGTACACCATAACAGAGAATTCCTAAAAGAGGGAGTAAAAATGGATAAGAAATGTCTTTATAAATGTTCAACATCCTTAGCAATTAGGGAAATGAAAATTAAAACTACTTTGAGATTTCATTTTACCCCAGCCAGAAGTCTAAGATCAAAAAACTAAAACTAAAATACAATGACAACAAATGCTGGTGAAGATGTGGGGACAGGGCACCCTCATTCTCAGTGCAATTGCAAAGTGGAACAGCCACTCTGGAAATCAGTGTAGAGAATTCTCAGAAAGCTAAAGATAGATCTACAGAATGACCCAGCTATACCACTACTTGGTGTATGTCCACAGGACTCATCATCTCGCTCCACAGATGCATGCTTAGCCATGCTCCTGTTTGTGTGCTATGCATCTTAGTGTGGGATTCTATGTGGACAAGAGGCTTGGAGGGGAAGGGCTATTTGTCTGTTTCTGGAACCTGAGTGTAGACCCAGCCTTACTCTGTGCTCTTGATCTGCTCATGGGCTGTTGTGTAGCTCATTCATTTTATACATCTATAGGCTAGGCCTTTGGGTTTAGTCTTTATTCTACAGAAATTGGACATCACAGACTATTTTACTCAGGACTTACACATACACACACACACACACACACACGCCTATCTAATCACAAATACTAGAGATGAATGCTATTATAGATAAATAACATGAATATAAGCATAGCCCCCTCAGGCAGAGCTCCCTCTTCACATGACTGTTGATTAACAGCCTGTAAATCTTAGACACCAGTAATAAGGCTTTGAAACAGTCCATATCAAGCACAAAGAAAGCTAACATTGTTTTAAAAACATTCTTAATTATATGACTTAATTAATCAATTAATTAATTAATTCTAAATTGCAGGACTTCCATCCTACTCTTTCCTGGGAACACTGGTGTGTTAATAACTGTTTCCAATATCTGTTTCCAACTGATAAAGAATACATAATTTCTCTGTGTCAAGTTGGAGCTTCATTTTTGAAGATATTTAAACTTTTATTAGTATTATTATATATGAATGCACGCATGCTGATGTGCTTGTGAAGGTCAGAGGACAACTCTGGGGAGTTGGAACTCATCATCTACTTTTCCGTGGGTCCTGGGGAGGAAACTCAGGTCACCAGGCTTGGACTGTTGGTCAGCAAGTGCCCTTACTCACTGAGCCATCTCATCAGTGCCTAGAGCTTTGTTGCATAACTCCAGGCAATATTCATTTCTAAAGCTCAGAGACACACATTTTCCCTACTCCTCCAAACATGGACCTTTTAGAAATATTTCCTGCAGGCTGCATATAGTCACAGTAAGTAAAAAAACAAAAAACAAAAAACCAAAAAAAAACAAAAAAACAAAAAAACAAAAAACCCACTATGCTTGCTGAGCTGGTTTATGCAAAGGGCGTCGTCGTCAGGTTATAAACCCTTGTAAGGGAATTTTTCGGAATAGAAAAAATTGCTCAATGTAGAATTCTAAAACATGTTTGTCTCTGTAGCATGTTTCCCTCTACACCCCAAACTTAATAGAAATGGTTGAGTTTGAGTTGAAATACTCAATTCTTCTAACTCTAGATAGTTCAAAAGGAACCTTTCCAATGTGCGGTGCTTCTCTGCCTACAAAGAGTCTTGGCTTCCAGCAGCTGTTTCCCCCTCTGTGTTTGGTAAGCTGTGACAAGGCCCTAAAGCCACAGGCTTGCTGTAATCCCTCTGTCCTCAGCTGTGGCAGCACATGATGGGCATGGCCCTCAACAGCTGGGCTGTGCTCCACTCTTCTTTCACAATAAAGGCCCTACACCATGACCTAGGCAAATAGAATCCAAATCACAGGTCGCACAAAGCCAGAAGGAGTCTAGCCTTCCAAGAAGACAGGAGTTTCCTGCTTGCCTAGAAAGCAGGATTTGTCTGACATTTTTAACACTTTATTAGTATGTATAGACTCACAGAGATCTTTAAAAAAGGACTTCTTAAACAAAAAACTGTGTTTCTATATTTATCACAATTAACTGGATTAATTATGATGTTCAATTATTTACAAATAATTGAATTATCAGTTATTTCAGGAAAATACAACCTCATTGTGTTATTATACAGTCCACATTGAATAAATATACCATTCTTGTTCATTGAAGAAACTCCTTATAAAAGATGCTACCTGTGGATCACTCACCAAACAAACAGCATAAGCCTTCAGTACAATAGCTGTGGGATGAGAGCTGAGAGTCCGAAAGGGGGCCCAGCCCTTTTCATGTTGAGTGCACCAGGCAGATGCAGTTGATGGAGACTGTCATCTCTAAAATACAGTTTTCTTAAAATCACTGCCTACCATCACTAAAAAGTAAGAACTAAGACACTACTTAAAGAATTTAGTGAGTATTCGTTTTGGCAGCACATATACTAAAACTGGAACCATCAAGAGATTAGCATGGCCCCTTTGCAAGGTTGGCAATCAAATTAAAGCATTCTATAATTTAAAAATTTTTAGTGATATTTAAATGAAAATTTTAATTTCTATAAGGTACTAAATCCTTAATGAAAATTTCCAAATTAAATTTCAAATCCAAAAGTACATTTAAAATTATGCCCTGATCATTTTTTTGGTAATCTTTATTTAAGCTGCTTTTAATTTATGGGTGTTAAGATTTTGAATAGTGTTATAGTTTTAGCTTTTGGAGTCAGCTAGACCTGAAATTAAACCCAGTCATTTTTACCATCTAGAAAACGAGAGATGGTGTCTCTCACAGATTCATACACTAGATCTGTGTGTGTGCACTTGCAAAATGGGAAAAATCGTGTTTACTGCCTTGGGCTTCTGTATACCTAAATGAACGTGTTTGCAATAAACACAGCACAGAAACCCTCAAGTAGCATTGCATATTGGTAGAGTAAGCAATAAAGGCCCAACAGGAGGGAGAAATTGGGTAGGTAGTTTAGGGGAAAAAGACTTCCAAGAGAAGTACAGTTTCTCTAGACAAAACCCAAAAATGTCCTTGAGCCCCTGGCTGCCTCACTGTAGCCAGAGATGCCAGAAATTTGGAAGGCTCTAATCTCTAATTTAGTTCCTAAATGATTTTAGGGTCACCTCTTCAGAGGTGGGTGTGTTAGAGTAAGCAATAAAGGCCCATTAAGCAAAATCTCATCTCTGGCCCATGACCTAACACTCCACTTAGCTAAAGAACCACCCGTCGGAAGACAGCTCACAGAAGCCCGTGGTAAGGACGCAGGCAGAACAAGTCCTTTAAGGGAATATTGCACTTTTCCTTCCCAGAATGCTCACCCTAGAACTGTGGCTTACTGGCTGGCAGCCGTGCAGTTTTGTACAACTGGCCCTTTTCTGAATTACTCAGAACTGTGCATTTCCCCTTTCTTCCTTCTATGTCTTTTCTAAGCAGGGATTGCTTAACACTTTGGGTCTCCCCAATATTTTAGGCTTTTTTACTTTTCCCTACAGTATCCTCCCAGCTATGTGGATGCTTGCCTGTCAAGTGTCTGACCTTCAGGACAGGACATCTTACACAGTATGAGCCCTCCCCCACCCCCATTCTCCTCCAGGAAGCTGTTGAGATTTACAGCTTGCTTGCCATGGCATTTTTTTCTTTTAAACTCTAATAAAATTGTCCTTGAGCTTCCATTTGAGTTCATTCTTAAATTATTTATTAATTACACTAAGAGCTCCAAGAAGTGGATCTTAATTTCCCACGTATCAATTTAAGACTCCACTTTGAACCCACAGATCTACCAGTGTACACAGTAGGTGCTAACTACAAGCAAGGAGCTTCCAGTTACAACCAACCTTTGGCCTAACCTTCCTTCTACTTCCCAAAGACAGCTGGAAAGGAAGCTGTTGTGTTTCTTGATGGGTGAATCCTAGCTTGCACCCTGCTGTTAGCTCAGAGGAAGGTAACTTTCACTTGGGATCTGTTTCAAGACATGCAGTGCCTAAGCCTGGTTCTGTTGTGTCCCTGCTCTTCACCACAGACTATTCTGATATGAAAATCCAGGCATACCTTCTGCTTGCCCTGTTAATTCACTCCATCAAGCCTGTCCAACCCTTTACTGCCTCAATGTCCTGGACATTGTGAGACAGAATCTTTGCCTGACTCCACCTGAAACTAGAAGTAGCTAACCCTGGCCCTTTCGTATATTAGTTAATAAATGCCTGCATCATTAGTAAGCACACCTATAAGCAAAATATCTGGGAAAAAAATTAGAAAAAAGTGCTGATGTTGTGACTAGCAGAAGTGATGAGTCAGAATTCTACAGTAAGGTGTTATGAATTCTGGGGAAACACTCTTATTGACCTTGAGGCACCTACAGGTCTGTGGAAAAACTCTAAGTACTCCATTCTGACAGGGAAAGGCAGTACTTGAAAGAGAGGGAGGAAGAACTCTTCCATAATATATATTCTTCAGAACTAGTTGTCTCTCCCAAGCCTGTCCTCATGAACTTACAAGACTGGGAAAAAAGAGAGAAATATTTGCTATGATTGCTCTTTCCATAAATGTGAATTGAAATTGTAAGCATTTGTCAAGGTAAAAGCATTTTCACACAGCAAGCTTAGCATCATGGACAGAAGCAAGGCATTTAAGCCCCCTTATTGTGTAGACAGTAAATCAGTCCCAGCAGGATGCGAGGGGTGGGGGTGGGGGAGAGTCACCTTTAAGCCCATGGACACTGCTGCTCAACTTCCCCTTCTCAGTACTCCTTAGGCTCTACCAAGTGTGTCATGGATGTAAGAGGCCATTTTCAATCTAAATCTTGTTAGAGATTAATAAGCAAACATTTTCTTGCTTATTATGCAATTTATCATGATGAAAAGTACATTGGACTCCTCAAGGCTACATGCTGATACATTCATTTATTCAGAGCTGTGTAGAGAAAGTCATACTAATCTTTGTGACAGAAAGGATGTAATAGCAAGATTTAAATTACCTACTGAAAACTATAGGATTTATGTCTCTTGACATACTCTCTGTAGATGAGGCATATATACATGTTTACTTTGCTGATATAAGCTTGATGTAAACTTATTTTAAAAACAAAACTGTTAACAATAAAACTAAAATGAAACCTACCATTCATTCCAGGTAACAGAATAGAGTATATAAACTTGTGAAATTGGGATTGGTCATATTTGAAAACAAACTATCATACTGGATAATTAAACATATTACATGCTTCTCATGATAAAGCAAGAGGGCTTCAGGACGTGCAGCCCATGCTGTGTTCTCCTGTGGGTACACAACATCGAGTCAGGAGGAGGCTAAAGGTAGAAAATATGTTCTAGAGATTTGTACAAAGACCAGCTGCCTTGTACTATTGGTGTAAACTTATAGGCCAGCATTCCCTCCTAATTCCAAAAGTCACCTGAGAAATATCTGCTGCCCTCCTTTACCAGAAACCATTCTGGCCACTAATCCATAACACTGCTCATTTGCCAGTTTGTAATCTGTTGAACACTGGAACCATCACAACAACATCACCACTTAACACAACTGCCATAGTAACACCATCAGTCTCTTAATGCTCTGGTTAGCTTTTATTTCCAATCCCAGTCACCTGACTCCTCTATTAGACTGTGTTGTGGGCATGTCTGCAGGACATCGTCTTGATTGCTAACTGAGGTAGAAGGACCCAATGCACTGTGGGCAATACCATCCCTAGGTAGTTATATGATATATGCGTAGGAAAGCTAGCTCAGCATGAGCCAAAGCCAGGCCAGAGCATGAGCAATCAGCATTCCTCCATGGTTTTGGCTTCAAGGTCCTCCCTTGACTTCTCTCAGTGATGGACTGTGACTTGGAAAGTATAAAGGAAATAAGCCCTTTTGTCCTAAGTTGGTTTTCGACAGAATGTTTATCATAGTAACAAATGAAAACACTTAAGATGTGCTAATCACTCCTCTCAGTTCTTTGCAAACATAATCTCACTTAGCATCAACTTTTTGAAGCAGACACTTTAATTCCATTCAGGTAGCTAGGGAGACCTAGAGGTGACATTAGAAAACATGGAGGTATGACAAGAGGTAAGAGAGGAAAGCAGCTGTCTAGGTTTGCAGTGAATACTCTCCTCCTACCAGTTCACCAGGGGCACTGGGCAGTGGATGGATAATCTGTAGGCAAAGTCACAGCACTGTGTTTCAGCCTTCAGTTGCCTCTCTGGCTTCCACACAGTGTACTTAGCCCATCTAGCAGAAAGACAGCAGGTCCCCACGTGCTGTAACCAGAGGGAACTGTGGCATAAGGAAAAGCAGCCATGAAGCAAAGAGCGATCATTTTAGTTTTTAAAAAGGTCAACAATGACGACACTGGTATGTTTTTACAGAGAGAGGCATCATGGGACAATTGAGGAATTTCTATCACTTTATATTCACTAGGATGAACTACTTTAAAAAGTAGACAGAAAAATGGAAATCTTATTTGTACAGTGCTGAAGATAATGAAAATTCAACTGCGATGAAAAATTGTTTGGTAGTCCTGGAAAATTTAAAGATGGAATTATAAGCCCTACTAATTCCACTTTGAAAATGAAAATGAGTTCCCACATAAACACTTACATATGAATGTTCACAGTAGCTCTGTTCATAAGACCGAAAGGTGAAAAATAGCTACATGTCTATCAACAGATAAACAAGACATTGTCTAACAGTAGGTGGGATGGAATCCAGCTAAAATACAAAATAAAACAGTGAAACACACTACAATAGGAATGGACTCTAAGAGGGATAAGTGAAAGAAGTGAATCATCAAAGAAAGAAGTGAAAGAAGTGAATCATCAAAGACTACAGGATGCACGGGTTCATTTCTGTGAACTGCCCAGGACAGGCAAATTTAAGAAAGGCCGAAGATTAGTGTTTCCTAAGGCATTTAGACAGAGGAATGAATGGGAGAAACTGCTTAATGGACAATGGTGGCTTTGGAGTCAGCACTACTGGGGACTAGGTGGTTGTGATGGCTGTACACTGTCACTTTACTTTTGTTGATAATCACCAAGTTTATGCCACTTGCATAATATACCCAAAGGAGAGGTGTTTTCCTGGAATCAGGAGACTGGGTTCTAAGAGAGCATCAATGCCCATCTTTACCACCACAACTCCTAGCCATCAGCAAGTGTTCCCACTCATTTCAGGTTAGCAACTCTTTCTGTACATTTTCCTCTTTTGTTATTTTTAAAGTGATGATTATGGTATATTAAAAAATTTAATACATTTCATTTACTTAGTGAGTGTGCACTGTGTGTGCGCACGCATACGAGTGCAATGCATCAGGGGAGGTCATAGGATAACTTGCAGAAATTGGTTCTTTTCTTCCATCATGTGGGGCCAAGAGATTGAACTTCAGATTGTCAGTCTTGGTGGCAAGTATCTGTGTTCACTGAGCCATCCTACCTTCCCAACTCGTCATCATACAACTTGTCACTGACTACATGCAAAGGAAATGCCAATAAGGTTAATTTAAAAATTAACAGGAATGTAGAGGAGCAA